TTAGAAAAGAGTAGATGCAAGCACAAGATGCAATGAAACCACAGAGAGGTTCCCCAAGTCACAGAGGCAGCAAGTGTCAGAGCCAAGGTTCAACTCCTAGACTCTCTGGATCCAAACCCTTGCACCTTCCTCCACTCTAGCTGCACAGCTACAGCCGTCAGGACCTTTAGTCATAGTCTGAGTTCTGAGGAAGAGCAGTAGCCCTTGTTGCTGGCAGGGAATGTTTAAGAGCAAGGAGAAGCCATTGGGAATTGGGATGCGGCAGGTACAAGTGACCCAGCAGCACCTCAGGCCCAGAAGAGGAGATGATGACCGGGAGAGGAGAGGTTACCAGATCATGAAGCCTCTCCCCTGGGACAGGATTGATTCCAGAGCCTAGAGGTGGCAGTGAGTGGTTCTACCTATAAGAGCCACTGGGGCAAGCAAGAAACCAGGTTGCACTTAGAGAGGCAGATTGGTACCAGAAAATGGAGGGTCTCAAAAATCAAGCTGGGATTGAGAGGAGGGGCCTTATTGGGAATGGCAGTGGGGATGTGAGAATGAAATCAGACAATTCTTGAGCTGGAAGGAAAATCTGCCCAATCTCTAGGATCATCATCTCCTTTTTGCTTCTGTTGAGTTCAGTAGCTCCTGACAGGACTGTCTGCCCTTTGGAAAACAACTCTTTTGCTTTAAAAACTGTTTTTTCCTCCCTTCTGAGCACCAGATCTGGAAGAGGCCCCAATCTTTTCTAGGGATTCTTTGTTTCTGACTAGTGGCTGGATAGCCTAAGCCAACCTTCCACAGCTGGGACGGGGCATTGGGCCATACCTCTGGGGCATGTGAATCACAACTCTCTCTGGAACAATGGGTGAGGCTGGGAGAAGTCAGAGGATTAGAGGTGGGGAGGCTCTAGGACTGGAGAAGGAATAGTGGAGCAGCTTGGGGAAGAGAGCCTCTCTGGGCAGGTGGCTCCATTTGATTTCCGATTTCAAGGGGCGGCTTAGATAGCCAAGAAGAAAACGGCTAATAAGAAAAATATTAAATGGCAGTGTGTATGTCCCCAGGGACTTCCTGTTGCCATGACTGACCTCCTGGAGAGCGCCATTCGTTCCCGAGCATGGCAGCTTTATAGGCACTGGTAGGCCAGCAAAGAACACCAATTTGCTGCCGCAGTTTGTTTTGATAACTGAAACTTTCAATAAATCTATATTAAAATCAAAGGGAAAATTAACTAGGCCCCAGTGAGGGGCACAGAGATAAGGGAGCACATTACCACCCTGGCCTCGGTCACACCGCATCCATCTCTTAGTTCAGATTCAGGTCACCAGGGAGATGAATGGCTCGGGCTCATAGGGAACAGCCCTGGGGAAAGCGGGGCAAAGAAGGCATGGCCAGGTCTAGGCTCCACTGCTCTTGGAGCAGAGAAGACTGGGGCTGGGTGTGGGGGAGCAAGGAGGTGGTATGGTGGTGGTCACGGTGGGAAGAGGAGTTGGAAGAGGGATGGGGGAGGGGCAAGAATAATAGTAACAGCCAATATTTACTGCACTCTTTATGCAAGATACTGTGCTAAGCATGTTTAATTCTAATAACAAGTAGGTACTAGTATTATCTACACTATAGAGATGAAGAAACTGAGCCTCAGAGAATATGTGACTTGCCTAAGGTCACAGATAGAGCCAGGATGCAAACCTGAGCAGGCTCTCTCCATGCTCACTCTCCCTATAACTGCACTGTGCTACCTTACATAGCTTACAGGGACTGAGAATGGCAGAAGCAGTTTCTCCAGTTATCACATAAAATGGTTTTGGATCCAGTCTGGGTTCTCTCAGCCGTGCCAAGTTTGGGGGCTGCCATGCACTGTCCTCGGGTCCTGGGTTCTCTGCCCTTCAGTTGCTAAGGTCCCAACTTTGATGGCTATATTGCGATTTTTCCTGGTGGTTTGACAGGGCTGCAGAAGAACCCATGTGGTCCTCTTTGGTTCTTGCTCTCGGTGTTCACTTTAGTTCAGTCACTTAATCCAGCAGCCAGGCAGTCTACCCAGGGTGTATATGTGCATGTACTGGACTCAGTTCATCTGTCTCCGAAAATTTACTCACCCCATCTGCTTGCCCCACCCCAGACCTTGGCCACCTATTTTATGGACAACCCAGCTGCCACTACTATCACATCATTTACTAACACATCTGGTTGTCTCAGCGCCCTCTGGGAGGAGGGTTAGGTTCTGAAGGAGCTTCCAATGTGCGCATTGTGATGGGACTGCAGTGGCCTATTTTGACCAAGCCAGAGGTTCCTCTCATCCTTTCTAGTCTCAGGTGAACCACTGTGCTTTAGGGTGTGGGATCTGGCGCCCCCTGTGGCTACGGGAGTGGTGGGGTAACACAACCTTCCCTTTCTTCCTGTCTGAGAAGTGATGGCTCTACATGGTCTGTAGGACAGAGCAACTAGCTGTGCTTTCTGTTAAGCTTTGGCCATACAATACTACTTTATATTTTCATTCCCTGCTTCCCTGCCTCACTTCTCTTTTCCTCCTCACTCTTGCTGTCCTGGGATTACATTTCCCAATGAAATCTTACAACATAAGATTTGCCTCAGGCTCTGTTTTCTAGGGAACCAGAACACAGCCAAAGTCTTGAGGGAGCCAAATGCTGGGTTAGGCAGCAGTGTAAGGTACCAAGTGTACTTAAACTGTCCTATTATTTGAGTGTATTTTGCCTGGTCTTTGTCCAAAAAGAGCTTACAATGTGGTGAGGCCCTGGAAGTTGTTCAGATGAGCTCTAGAGCACCAAGGAGGAAAGAACACATTTTGGGGAAGTCAAGGGTTCCATGCAGGATACTGGGGCTGGGCCTTAAGGAAAGCCTCCAATTCTCATAGTGTGTGTTTACTTCATTCTTACAGCCAGGAAGGCTGGCTATGACATATTCTCAGGCCAGATTCAGGATATAACAAAGCCAGAGACAAGAGAGGCCATACTAAGGCCTCTTATTAGTCTAATTTTTTTTAAACATCTTTATTGGAGTATAACTGCTTTATAATGGTGTGTTAATTTCTGCTTTATAAAAAAGTGAATCAGCTATACATATACATATATCCCCATATCTCCTCCCTCTTGCGTCTCCCTCCCTCCCTCCCTATCCCACCCCTCTAGGTGGTCACAAGCATGAGCTGATCTTGTGCTATGCGGCTGCTTCCCACTAGCTATCTATTTTATAATGGTCTAATTTTATTTATCTATTTACTTACTTGTTTATTGTCTGTTCTTCCTCGCCCCTCCTCCTCCTCAATGTAAAAGCTCCTTGAGGACACAGATTTTGTGTGTCTTATTCACCAGTGAATCCTCAGCAACAGAAACAGTGCCTGACACTTAGCAGAGGCACTATAAAATATGTTGACTGATATGATCAACTGGGATTAACATCTAGATAACATTAATGGAAAGAGGAAGACCCAATCCCAGCTCCAAGAATCAGGTGATAGGCAGATGTGCCTCCACTTTACTGACCTTTGGTTAAGTGACACCCGTCCCTGCTGGTGTTTATTCCCTCATTTGTTCACAAACATTTATTGTGTGCCTGCTTTATGCCTGGCACTGTGCTGGGTATTACTTTACAGCATGAACAATATAGAAATAATGCCTACCTTACAGGAGTTTACAGCCCTGGGGGAGAGACAACAAAGAAATGGACAATTATAAAACAATGCAATAAATTCCGTAGGTGCAGAGTAGAATCACCTAACCCATCATGTGGGATTAAGGAAGGCATTCCTTAAAGGGGGGATTACCAGGCTTTCCCAGCTCAGGTGGGAACCATTCATTATGTTAAGGTCAGATTTCACGGAGGTGGTAGGGACCAGAACTGACGACATTTTCTTAAGTGAAAATATGTAGATGTCAGACAGAGGGCTTGGTGACCGAAGCTGGTCACAGATGGTTCCTGGCTGACTGGGAGGCTGTCAAAACCATCACTGGCTTGGCCAAGGCTGGGGTTTCCCAGCTCAGAACCTAGTACCCATAACTTACCAGAGAGGCACAGCCAAGATGAAGAAATACATCTCTGGCTTTGGCCAGAGTTCTCTCCAGTTGACTGAAAAGACTGACTGTGGAAACTCCCCACAGTTGAGGCCAGAATCCTTTTTAACTCTGAAGTTCCCTCTGGAGCTGATCTTAACAACTTAGTTCCCTCTTCCTTGGGAAGGCCCTTCAGAAATCTAAGCATTTTTTTTTTTCGCCTAAAATCCTCCTCCTCTCAGGTCTTTCCCCAGGCCGACCTCAGAGAGTAAATGATAGTAATGGCTTGCTGAATGAACTAATCACGAGAAGGTGACATCTAAATACAACACGTCACCTTATGAGCCTATATTCACCTCATGAGTATACTGGAAGGTGGGAAAACGGAAGTGGGGGACTTGGGTTTCTCTAGGCCTTAGAAAGTTTCCTTTTGTAGAAAATTTCTTTCACAGCTCAGAAGTCAGGACCCCCCTTCACTTTCTTCTAAATACGTGCAACCTCGACACTACAAGTCCCATAAGGCCTGCGGAGGGGAGTCACCATCTTGACGCACCTTCGCGCGCATGTCGGCGGGAGAGCGAGCCTTTGGGGAGAAGAAGCTCCGCCCCCGTGCAGCCCATTGGTCAGAGGAGCCGGCGGCGGGCTCAGCGGTTGGCCATCGCGCCCGCCCGTCCGCCGCGTCGGCCGGGGTCAGAGTGCGCGG